CAACTCCTGGGCTCAAGCGAGTCTCCTGCCTCCGCCTCCCAAGTAGCTGGGACCACAGGCGCCCGCCACAACGCCCGGCTATTTTTTGGTTGCAGCCGTCGTTGTTTTGGCGGTCCGGGCTGGGGATTCGAACCCGCCACCTTAGGTGTACGTGGCTGGCGCTTTAGCCAGTTGAGCTATAGGCGCTGAGCCTACAATGATTCTTAATGTAGAATGTCCACCACAATCACCAGTATAAAGCATTTTTTAAAAAGATGTAGTTGCTCGGGTTTCACCAAATCCAATGAATCAGAATCTCCAGGGAGGTTAGTAGGGAATACATGTTTGGGGTAGGAGTGACAGCCTTGGTAGACTTAATGCCTCTTATCATTATGATCTCCTGTCACTAACACCTGTCTAGGACAGCCTAGGGTATATTGTGTAATGTCATATCTACAAATAAAAGGAAGGTTGTGTTGAAAGCAGCTTTACTTTTTGTTTTCCCTTTAGGTTGGTTTCAATGCTGAGGAAGCCCACAATATTGTCAAAGAGGTAAGTTATATAGTATGTTTATCTAGGAGCTTTCTGCATTGATGGAAATTGAAAAAAACTTGTTTTGACTTTCAATACAAAGTTAGAAACCATAGTATTAGAACAAGAAGATTATAAATATGTATCCACTAAACTCTTTATAGGGCTGTTTCAATGTTTTGTTGTATGCTGTTGGTTCTGGGGGCTTACTCTGAAAGACATACTTAAGGATTTTCTTAGTCTAGAAAACTGTTTTGCTGTTTTCTAAAATTGATGCCCTATCTTTTGAATAATAAACTTTGGTTCCAGTAGGCCAAACATTATGGTAAATGTTAATGCTATAAAACCATGTGTTTATATGTGTGTCTTTATATGTATATATCTACATGCATACACTTTTTATACTGTAAAGTACATGTATAACATATATGCATATTACGTCAAAAAGATGAAGGACCGTAGAAATGTCTACTTTCAAACCTTATATGCTGTTTTTGCTCAATATAATTGGAAAAATAATCACTTAACATTTTTTAGACACTGATATGATAGTAAGTCAAAATCTTAAGAAAAATATTTGAAACATGAAATCTGGTCCTCTTGTTAGAAAAATAGACAAAACGTTGTCTCTAGGAATTAATTCCAGCAGAGAAACTTTCGTTATTCTTTCAGTATCATATACATGCAACTGAGGGTAAGGTATTTAATTTATGAACACTTTAATAATCCTGACTCATCTTTAATGCTGCCAAATCGTAGAAAAGGACTGATCTGGCCCAGAAGGCAGGCTTGTACCGTGGGGATGGCTGCTGGGGCTCATGTCTCAGCAGGCCCTGACTGCGTTTAGTCTGGACTGGATCAGCTCTGCTCTCTGGTCATTGTTTGTGTCATCAGTGCATCCAGAGACAATACCTCACTTGCCTGAATGCTCTGGGGCACCAGCTCATCCAGAGCTCACTGAGGTCTGGCCTTGTACAACTAGGAATTAATTCAAGGTCTGAGAGGGCTAGGAACCTGAAAAACCTGCCAGACTTTAATAGTTCAAAAGCATGTGTTGTGTATGTCTTGCTAGCCCAGGAATAGTTATTTATTAAGGGAGGGGAGGGGGGAGGTAATTGGTGGGACCACACCTATGGTGCATCTTACAAGGGTACATGTGAAACTTACTAAATGTAGAATACAAATTTCTTAACACAATAACTAAGAAAATGCCATGAAGGCTACGTTAACCAGTTTGATGAAAATATTTTAAATTGTATATAAAACCAGCACATTGTACCCCATGACTGCATTAATGTACACAGTTATGATTTAATAAAAAAATAGAATGCAAATGTTTTAGTACCTTGACAAAGTATAATAAAAGCACAAATGAGAGAAATTCGGAGGTAGAATAAGCAGTGGAGGCAGTGAGAAGGACAGAGTAATAATCTCATTTTTCAAAGTGTAAAGCAAGGTAAAAATGTCCTTCCTTGATTGATGGAACATGAAACAAAGGATTCTAGGGTCTTTGGGGTCCCTTTAAATAGTGCCTTATTCTTTACCTAAGTTCTGAGCCAAATAAAAAGACAAAAAAGTGACTAGAAAGAGAACAAAATTCCATCTTTATTAATGATAAAAACTAAGTTGGCGATTATATCTTGTTTTGCAAACTCCCACGCACTTCTCAGTTTAGACCTTGCAAAAGGCATCCAGGGGAAAGTTTGAGTCAGCAGAGAGAAACAGTCACCCAGTTTGGTGCCTTCATTGGTCTGGATAGAGAGGGAAGAAGAAACCAAAACCCAAGTCCAAGACATTTGGAACATTGGTTCTCCCAAATGTCAATGTTGGAATAGTGGTGTCACCCACCAACCAGGTAACTCACTCCACCTCCATGGGAACAATAACCAGAACCGTTAGGCGAAGATCCTCTGTGTGGAAGGAAATGTTAGGAATAGAAAAGAAATATGTTCCTAACAGTGCAAAAATTTACAAATTAAAATAGTGAATTCATTATATTGAGAGAAGTGGGTGGGAGCAAGGTGACAGGTGGTCTGAGGGAACCAAATATGCATCTATCATAGCAGGAGTTATATAGAAGTGTGTAAGTCATAATTCAGCAAATAGTGATAGAAACATTTTTTTGGCGATATGTAGGTAACCTTTAGAAGAAATAAAAACAAAGAATTGTACAGTAAAGGAAATGGAGCTAGGATGTGAAAGGAAAGAGTAGGGAAGGGACTTCTGCTTTTCATTGTAAGCTCTTCTGTTTGGATTTTTAAAACTTGTGCCTAAAACAATAATAATATAAAATAAAGGAAATGTATGCCTGTGTTACTTTGATTAAATTAAAAGAACCATGCTTCTTAAACTGGGATGTACATAATTGACAGTGGCTAGGTGGTGCTAGAAGCCACTGGATACACTTTAAAGTGTCAATTTGACTTGAATATTTGCAGGAGGAAGTTAAGTAATATAATTTAACTGAAAACATTTTTAAATAAAAACTCTAATACATTATGTAGTCAAAAGCAAGTGTTTCTTGTATTTTTTGTACGAAATGTGAGACTTCAAAGAGAGGTGAGGTTTGCTACAGGTCAATTGCAGCTACACATAGCGATCATCTTCCCTTCTCCTTTCTTCCTGTGAGCCAACCCTCTTCTAGCATCAAAATACGTAGTATTTCCATTGAGGCACTGAAAAGGCTTGAGAGTAAGCAACATTTCACCACTTCATAGATGATTACATAATTTCAGCAATTGTTTTCCTTATCTCTTATCAATCTTATTTTCTCTCTTTTGATTCCTTGCCCTGAGCCTCTATGTTAACATTTTTCCTGCTGAACTTTGAGTCACTTTTTTATCAGTTATATGCATACATTGTATTTATTGTCAATGATAGAATTTGTGCCCCCCCCAAAAAAAATCCTGTAACAACCAGTGAGACAAAATGAAATTTAACTTGGAACTTAGTCTAGAAGTGTTAATATATTTGATTTAGCATGCCAGGTGATGTGTCAAAGCCAATACTGCTTCAACAACATACATTCATTGAGTATGATCACCGGCTAGGTGATCAGGTCCTGGGTTTGGCTCTAAGAATACAGAGTCGTTGAAAGACTTCACTAGTCGGCCTCTCGGTTAATGGTAATTAATTATGCTAAATGTTAATTAATAGTAATTAGCAGGACTATTTACAGTGGCACCCACAACCCCATGGTGTTTTCTGCTGTTTATAGCAGAACTTGGAGTGATCCTATTAAATAACCTGAAAGAAAAATGAGTGTTCTTACTTTCTCATTAAGGAAAGGTGATCTCTAGAGAGAAAGAGATTTGTCCAAAGGTCATCAGCTTAGTAATAATAAACCAGAATTAAAATCGTGTTCTCCTGACCCTTAGCCTGCTGCCCAGCCCCTACTCTGTCATGGTATTGAACTTTCTAGGGGGATAATTTGAGCCACGTTACTTTCATCAGCCCCTCTAAATTATTTAATTTCTCTCTTTTACATTTTATCATTAGTGAAACTCTTATACTATCCAGCTTAAGATTCTATATTAGTGGCTTTATAAATCCTTACTGTATTCTAATTGATGTAAATGAAAGCTACATGTGTTTGTGTGCATGTGTTACCAACCTAGATTCTAAAAATGAATTGAATGAGAGCTTTATTATTCAGGCTCTATACTAGAATGTAAAATAACAGAAGCAATAATGATAATAATAGTTAATGTTATTTATGTTCTTACTCTGTGTGTGAACACTTGGAGATTCATTATTTCATTTCATTACCACAACAACCTGATAAGATGATGCCATTATCTTTACTTCAAGGATTAGGAAAATCAGGGTTTGAAGGGGTTAAGTCACCTGCTAGATATCACACAGTAGGGAGGTGGCTAGAGAAGGCCTTGAAACCTAGGATTATGATACTAAACCAGTGCTCTTAATCAGGTGTCAGAAGTGGATTCAAGGAAGCACTATAAGAAGTCTTATACTTTCTCTTTCTGGAGCATCTTTACTTTCAGTGGCAGATGTGCTTGTTGTTTTATAGTTAAGCAATCAGATGGCATGGCTGAGAACTATTTTGAATCCTGTGTCTTGCATCTGAGCCCTAGTTCAAATCCCAGCTGTTTCAAAGCCACTCTAACCAACTGATATCACCTACTTTCCACTCATTGTAATCCTTTTATGACAGAACTTATCACCCATGATTAGTCTTCCTGTGTTTATAGATATTAGAATTCTTTTATCAGCTTCTCTGCTAGATTGTTAAGTTCTCTACAAAGAAGCCACGGCATATTTATCTTTATATGGCCAACAATATCTCATATAATGAGATAATGCATGTGAAAACTCTTAAGCAATTACAGACAATAAATAATCGATATTTACCAGATGTATGTTTTCTAAGATGCCTTATTGAGTTAGAAATGTGTTTTACGTTTTGAATAAAATTTTACTGCCATTTATGTAAAACTTGTTCTTATTGGCTAATTCAATTGTCCCTTTTAGTGTGTAGATGGGGTCTTAGGTGGTGAAGATTATAACCACAACAACATCAACCAGTGGACTGCAAGCATAGTGGAACAATCTTTAACACATTTGGTTAAACTGGGAAAAGCTTACAAATACATTGGTAAGTATGAGTGTCCTTCCTCACTAGTTCACTCTCCTTTGTTTTGGTGATTTTATCTGAATTCCGAGGATGTATATGAATGATAGACATAAAATGTTAAGTTGGGTATGAAGGACTTTTTTCTTATTCGTTGAACGATAATATATAATGATACCTAAAAGATGAAGATATTTCACTACTCAAAAGCAGTTCGAGCTATTTGTCTTTGGTAGCATCATCCTTTGCATTTACACTGGTTCGCTCTTTCTACTTGAGAGCCCTTTAGCCCGAATGTTTTTCTGTCAGTAGTCTTATGCCTCTTTACCTATAAGAACATGCAGTTCTGCCCAGGCACAGTGACTCACACCTGTAATCCTAGCAGTCTGGGAGGCCCAGGCGGGTGGATTGTCTGAGCTCAGGAGTTCAAGACCAACCTGAGCAAGAGTGAGATCCTGTCTCTAAAAACAGCTGGGCAATGTGGCAGGCGCCTGTAGTCCCAGCTACTCAGGAGGCTGAGACTAGAGAATTGCTTGAGCCCAAGAGTTTGAGGTTGCTGTGAGCTGTAAC